GCTTGTCCAGAATCTCGCGGACAGAACCAGATCCGTCCTTGCGCAAATAGACAAGCACAGCTAGAGAGGTCTGTGGAGTTTGGCATGATGACGATCGCGAAGAGTAAGTGCCTCGAACATTCGGGCCAGCCTAGCGTTTTGTGCTCACCAAACCGTTGCTGCGGACTTCACCAAACGATGACAAATCTGGCATCACGGTGTGGCCATCTACCTGGTAGGTGATGCTATGCACTGTGAATGGTAGAAACTGATTGGGGATTTCCAACGCCATCGATATGCGATCGTCGTAGACAGTGATGCTGGCACTCCATGGTCTTGCAGGCAATTGCAGGGCATCAAGATGACCGTTGACTTGTGGAGACCTTCTCAGCGACCCATTCTGGTTCGTCTGAGGAAAGGCTCGCTCGATGCAGTCGTTGTAGTGCCTCATCGAGTGGAATCTCTCCACTTCTGCGATGTTGATGTTGGGCAAGATAGGAAGACCATCCTCAGACGTTACCCTGCAGCAGGTTGGATCAGATCTGTTAGACTCATAGCCTAGCAAGTATAGCGCTCCAAAGTGTGCGAAATGGCCTCTTTCATTGAACCATTTTTGCAAAATCCATTTGAGGCTTTCCAAGGCGGGCACAGCCTCTGGTATCACAGAGCCAATTCCGAAGAGCCCGGTTTGATAGACATTGCTATTCATTCCCCAGTAGCTTCTCGCGAGCAAGAAAGGAATCTTGTCCTCGCGATTGATGATATGGTGAATTAAACCACGCAAACGCAAGTGGGGTCGAGCGGTGTTGGATTTGATCTCCGTGACCATCGTGGCAGGAGCATTAAAAGTCACGACTGATAAGCAAGTGGTTGTGGTATCGGGATGAGCTGAGGTCCAGGTGTTCTTGAGGACCTTGTTCGAACCCAGCCCGGCGAGTACGCAGTACCCAACAATAGCTGCAATGGCGCCTCTGTAAAGCCGCGAGGTCAGGACGTCAGTTCGTGACGGCGCAGAGTTTCACGAGAA